CATCTCCCCCTGAAGGCAGTTCCACTAATTTACTGGGTTAGTTACAAACTCCTATCTGTTCAAGACCACTAGTCCCCGAGGGCCCTGGCCCTGGCATTGGCCTCAGGGGGCAGGGGGAGCAGGAGGAAATGGAGGGGAGCCAGAGATCAAGGCTGGGTGACCCCCAGCCTGCCCAACCCCCATGGCTGGGCCCCTGGTGGTCCCCAGCCAGCGGTCTGGCTGCACTGGCCCTTTCCCTTCCCTCTCTTTACAGTCCCCTGCTTTCTCTTCACCTTGCCTTTGTGGCTCTGGGGCATGCCCTAGACCAGCCTCCAGAATGTTCCATGAGGACCCCAGGGCAAGGCCATGGTGGTGCTGCTCTGGGTGGAAGAGGCCCCTCTCCCAGACCCCCTCCTGCCAGCCACACTCACCGATGCAGTTCATGCTGCGCAGTCCGCTGAACACACCCTTGGGCACCTTGCGGATGCGGTTGTCATGGATGCGGAGCTCCACCAGAGAGCTGGGCAGGTTGGGAGGGATCTCCACCAGGTGGTTCTTGGAGATGTAGAGCTTCTGCAGCTTCCGCAGGGGGCTGAAGGCCTTCTCGTGGATCTTGGAGATCTTGTTGTTCACCAGGACGAGGGCCTGAGGCAGCATGGGCACCAGAGTTAAAGGCACAGCTCCCTACCCCGCCCGCCCTCTTCTCTCCCTCCCTCCCCGCCACCTGAGCTAGATGTCTGAGCTCCAGCTCCGCCTGTGCTTGCAGCGGGGAGCCAGCACTCAGGCCCGGCAATGCCACTATTGCCGACCCAGCACAGCCCGCCGCTTTCCCAAGCCTCAATTTTCCCACGTGCACCCTGGCTACAATGAAATCTGTTCTTCCTGTGTTGCTGGGAGGAGCCAATAAGATTAAAAGTTTTTAGCTGAAAAGGGCATTGGGCTGAGTGATCCTGTCCTGCGCTTCTGGTAGCTGATGGACACACGTAACCCAGGAGCCGAGGCACTCCCAGCACAGCTGCCTCCAGGCTTCTCTCAGGATGCCGTGGGCCCCAGGCCGCTCTCACACTCCCCATCTGGACCCAGCCCCCCAGCTGCAGACGGCCCACCTCCTCGCCGTGCCTCCGAAGGGCAGGGTGGGCTTACGTAGAGCTGCTGCAGGCCTTTGAAGTCATCCTTTCGGAGCTCCGAGATGTCATTGTTCTGCAGGTCCAGCAGCGTGGTGTCAGGTGAGATCTCCTTGGGCACGGCCTTCAGACCTGGGGGCCGGTGCCACCGTCACCAGTGCGAGCCAGTGCCATGGCCCCAGAGCACAGTGACACGCATGCACACAGACACATGCATTGGGACTCTGCGCAGACAGGTGGAAGCTCCAGAGCTGGCAGATGGAGGCTCTTCTCGCTCCCCACTTACTTGCAACCAGACAACTGGATACCCTCCCACACGGAAATCAGGGTCCCCAATCCTGCTTGGGGTCACCCCATCCCCACCCCCACCTTTCCATGTGCATCCCATGGGACAGACGTGTGTCCCCTTGGTAGGGGCACTCAGGCTGGGCCTGCGCCTCCATGAAACCCTGTCCCCCACCCAGGCCGTGGGACTGACCCAGGTCAGAGCACTGAACGACCCGCAGGTGGCAGTGGCAGCCGAAAGGACACATGGCGCTGAAGGTGGGCGTGAGAGAGTCCAGGTCCGGGACGCCTGAGGTCGTGTCGGCACCCGAAGCCTCCTCATCGTTCAGCATGGGCAGTCCGTCATCCATGGTGAAGTCCCAGAAGCCCTTCTGCTCAAAGGGCAGGGCCTGGCTCAGGGCCAGCAGGGATGCGAGGAGCCACAGGGGCCACATGGTGGGTGTGCCTGGGAGGCCAGGGGGAGGAGGGGCCGTCAGAAGGCTTTGCCAGCACCAGCACCCGTCCTCTGGGCCCTTTCCCAGCCACCCTCCCAAAACCAGGGGCTGCAGTTCTGTGTGTATTGGCCTGTGTCCCCCATCCCTCAGGGGGGACAGCCAGACCCCAGGGCAAGAGGCAGCAGAGGGAGGGGTTGAGGGTGGCAGGAGGCACTAGGCAAGATGGGGGTGCTGCTGGCCAGGAGGCACCTCCTTCTGCTCCCTTCAGCTCCCAGGCAGGACTTGGCTTCAGCGGGCAATGCAGCAGTTAGCGAGTCTGCAGCGCCCCCTCCCCCCACCCCGTCCCCCCCACACACACACACACACACACACACACACACACACACACACATACACACTCTCCACTGAGTCGGCTGGCAATCTGCCTGGGGGGTCAGTGAGGCGAGTGGAGGAGATGGAGAGGGAAACCCAACCATTTTCCCCCACGGGCTTTGAAGAATTCGGATTTGAAGATACCACTGTGGCCCAGACGAGCCCCCCCTCCATGCTCAGGAAATGTGGGTGTAGTCAGGGTTTAGTTAGGAGACCATGAATCGCTTCCTGTCCTGCCCAAGCCCCCAGTTTCAGGGCACCCACATTTTTCTAAGAAAGTCGAGAGGCCAAGGCACCGGAGTTGGAACACTGGGCAGAGAACCGGGTCAGCCCCGGGGCAAGGTGGAGGGGGCATGGCCCCCGCCTACCCTCCCCACTGCTCCCTGGGGCCTTGGCTTCCTCCTCTGGCCCACGAGACTTCTCCTGGCTCTGCTCACAGAGCCCCGGGGCGCCCACATCTGCTCCTGCCCTTCCTTCTGCCCATGACTCGGCCCCCACGAGAGGCCACCCGAGGGGAGAAGGCGGCTGCCAAGGTGGCGGGCAGAGTCAGGCTTGTCTGGAGGCCCCCCAGGCTGGGCAGTGGGGTGGGGGTGGAGGGAAAGCTGCCCTGCCTGAGCCTGCCCCCAGTGCCCACATCTGCCTGCCTCCTTCCTCCTCCAGCAGAGGCCGCCCCCTGTCCAGAGGCGCCTCTGCCGGAAGGCACTGTACAGGAAAAGGCACCCCTGCCTCTCCCACCACCCCTACTTGCAGGGATTTCCTGGGAAAGTCTCAGCCTCATTTTCCCCATCTGTTAAACAGGAATAGATGTGCCTGCTCTGCTTGCCTCTCAGGCTCAGGTATCTGTGGTTGCCCTGGGTGCATCCATGGGCAGGGAGCCCAGCTGGGTGCCAGGGGCCTCCTGCAGACCCGAACTCGCCCCACTCCAGGGAGGTCCTCACCTGGGGCTCGTCTTGGCCGGGGGAGCCCCCTGAACCTGACTGCTGGCTGCAAAGGTGGAAGGAGGCCCTGGCGGGGCGGGGGAGGGCTCTGTGCACTTTAGGCCAGCATCTTCTGAGCAACTTGGCCCTGCCTGCTGCTTTTCTGGACAGGCGCAGTTGATGTGGGGGCTGGGCTGGCTGCCGGGGGCTGCTGCTCTGATGTCTTCCCACCAGCAGGCTGTGGGGCTGGGCACAACCCCATCTCAGGTTCCCATCCATCCCCATCTTGCCCCCCCACACTCCTCAGGCACCCCCTGGGCAGGTCATGTGGCGTGCCCTGGCTCCCACCATCCCGAGGACAGATCTGCAGCTGCTGGCTGGAGGGAACAGAGCAGCCTTTCTGGCAGCCAGGGCTTCGGTGTGTTTGGCAAGCGGAGGCTGAGGGCCCAGGACAGTGATCAGTCGGTTCAGCTGCAGAGCCAGCCCCAGAGAGCCCCCAGCAGGCCCCGACACCCCTCCCGAGTGCATAGTCCCCAGTGACAGGCTCAGAGAAGCTGCCTGCCTGCCCTAGGTCTCATAGCAAAGTGAGGGTCGGAGCCTAAGGCTCAGCTGTTTCCCTAAGCATAGAGAGTCAGACTTAGTGCTGGCCTCCAGGTCACCAGAAGTCCCTATGCTAGGGGAGCACCCAGCCTCTCTGGCTTCTTCAAGCCTCGAGACCCCATGATCACACCCCGGGTCCCGCCAGCCCCAGGCTGGCTGAGCAGGACCCAGGGGAGCCCCCCAGAAGGCCCTGGAGCGGAGTAGGGAGAACGCTCCCACTCACCTACCTGGGCAGCGTGTCCCTCCTTCCTCCTCTGAGTTTGCAACCCCCAGGGCAGAGCAGGGCAGGCCTAGGCCTCCCGAGCCTGCTGCTGCCGTGCAGGACCCTTGCCCGGGTGCCACTGGACACCCAGGGCCGGGAGGAGGGGGAACAGCGGGAGAGAAAAGGAAGGGGAGGGTGAAGGTAGGGGAGCGAGAGGGAACGGAGAGGGAGGGGCGATGAGTCAGGGATGGAACGCCCAGTGGGAGCTTTGGAAGGCTCTGGGATCCACAGCCCACCTGGATAGGTGGGGGTGGGGTGTGGTGGTGTGATCTGGTCAGGCCCAGGGGACGCTGCGGGGAGGACTGGGTTCTCTACAGGAGTCCTCAGGCCTCTCCACCAGGGGAGAGGATGACAGGCGCTGGGAAGGCCAGCCTAGGGTGGGACTGGCTACTGGGGCCCCAAGTGGGCTGATGGGACCTGCCCTGAGGGGATGTGGGCTCTAGAGGAGGTGAGCCCGCTCAGAGCAGCCGTGCCTGATGTCACAGTGTCTGGGGGCCGCAAAGAGGCCGAGGGGGGGCACGGGAAAGAAGCCAGCCCTCCGGCCATTGGCTCCAGCACAGGTTCACTCTGAGGGGGAGAGAGGCTGAGGGCTGGGAGGCCCTACACCAGGGCTCCGTGACAGAGGGAGAGGACAAGGTTTGGCTGGTTCTCCCCTGCTCCTGGCTGGGCCCAGGCAGTGGGCAGGCTGGCAGGGCGGGGGCCGGGCGGGCTTCCCGGCACAGCCTTCACTTCCCCTTGGGGAACTGGCATGAGACTCAGCGGCCAGAACTATGCAGAGGGGAGGGGGCCAGCAGACACCGAGCCCATGGGAGGAGGCAAGAGACCTTCTCAGAGCCAGAGGAGCCAGGAAAGGCCTCAAGGGGGCGCCCAAGAGGAAGGCTCCCCTGTGTCCAGCACAATTAGTATCCTCGTTTGATAGAAGAGAAAACTGAGGCCTACGGAGAGGAACCGACTTTCCCCAAGGCACTCAGCCTGAGACTTGGAGCCCAGCTCAGGCGACTCCAGGCCCTGAATTTTCAGGCCTCAGCCAGGGCGCTCCCTGCACGTGCAGCATGGGAGTGATGGAGGCCTTTGGCCAGCTGGCTGGCTCAGCGTGGGCAATGCAGGGAGCCTGGGGGAGGAATCCGAGGCTGGTGGTGGTCGAGGTGGGGGGCTGAACGGCTGTAGATAGGCCCAGCCGCACCCCTCTCCAAGCCTGGCCCTGCCTTCTCCCCACCACCTCACACTGGAGCCCCACCCGTGTTTGCACACAGGCACGCACACACATAGGAGGTAGGCAGGGCTGAGGCGCAGGAAGCAGGAGCCCACCATGGACAGATACTGTGAGACCCACGGCAAGTCCCTGTTCCCCCACCTCCCCACACTACCCAGGCCTCTGGGCCTCAGTTTCCCTTCATTGGCCTCCCTGGGCTTGTCCCCAATGACTTCAAGGAGGACCTTGAGCCCCATCAAAGTGTGCTCTGAGCTCGCTGGACCCCACCTCCTCAGAGCAAAGGAAAGAGATGGAAATGGTGGTGAGGCCTTAGGCCCGGCGCCTACAGGTGTGAGCGAGGGAAGAGGCTGGGCTTCCTTGAGCCTGTGCTGCTGACCCAATAGGGCCGTCCTTGTCTGGCCCTCTGAAAGCCAGCGCAGTCATCCGAGTGAGATTGCTCCAGGTCACAGCCAAACAAGACACACTGGCAGTCTCTGAGAACATGGAGGAACCGCGCCAGGCATTCAGGCCAGGCCAAGGGTGGTGAGAGGAGGACTTGAGGGCTGGCATGCCCTGGGAACTTGCCTGCAGATGTGGGGCCCACAGCTGCCAAATCACACATGCTGGGTGCTGTCCGGCAGCCTCACCCAGGCTGTCTGGCCCCACGGAGCAACCTGGCCTGAACTCTGACACTGGTGCCACCTTCCGCCCAGCCCTACCAGGTCCCTAGGGCTGTGTGGGTGGGGAGGGGTGAGGAAGATGGGCAACGCATGACACCCTTCCTCCTTCCCCTCGGTCCACCAAAGCCCTCCAGGCCCAGCTTCAGCCAGCAGGCCAGAGGCAGGGCCTGCCCTGAGCTCTGCCCCACAAGTGGGCGCTGTGCCCAGGCTGACACCCAGCTGCTCCCTGCTGCCCTCTTGGGCCCCAGCCCATTGGCCCCCTGATGGCTCTAGTCTACACTTGGGTGTCAAACAGAGAGAGGGAGCACGTGCCACCCATGTGTCTGCTGAAGCCCATGTGTGTGTATGTGTGGGGGGGTGACTGTGTGAGGCGCTGGTGGCTGGAGTGAGGAGTGGGTGGACCCTGAGCCCTACTCCATCTGCGTCTACACCTTGGCAGCCCTGAACCCACCACCATTGCCTCAGCATGCTGTCCAGGTTACAAGGTGAACAGATGCCTAAGAGTGGCTGGCCAGGGCAGCTCCTGCCTGCTATGACCCTGGCGCAGCTGGGGTGACTGTACAGAGATGAGTCCTGTGCTTGGGCAGCCTTCAGGGACAGACTTGACCTGGCTGGGGGCATCGGAGGCTGCGGGGAACCAGCAGGGAGCCAGCCCATCGGCTGCAAAGGGCTGGCACCGGGGAGGTGGCGACGTGGCTGGTGGTGGCAGGGCCAGACCTCTCTCCCCATAGCATTGAGGAGAGCCATCTACCCCCTTTCCCATCAGAAAACCTCTGGAAAGCAGGAGGGTTGAACTACTGGACTTCTGCCATGCCAGGAGTCAGGCAGCAGATGACCCAGGTCAGCTGGGAGTCCTGGGTTTCCTGGTCCTTCCACACCTGAGCTGTGTGCCCGTCCTCCTCCCCCCACTCACTGAAGAAATTTTGAGCTCCTCCTTGCCACGATCTAGAACCTTCGAGGAAGAGGGAGGATGCTATCACCTCCAAGG